TTAGGTGGGAATTGATTGTTTTAAAAAGACTAGAAAATAAGTGTCACGCCCCGAGCTTACATCCTGGGCGAGATTGGCACTCGAAGATCATTGTTAGCCCCAAGCGAACCCTTGGCCTGGCTTACTTAACTCAGCGGAAGACAATATTCATACTTATAATGATCAATAACACTTAACTGAACTGAATAATAAAATAACTGAGAATGTTTCAAAGGTTAAACATTCAACTTGGCCAAAAGTGGCAACCCAAGTCTTAACAATAAGAAATGATAATGAAAAGACTCAAAGGACTAACATATGACTGTCTGTGAAGCCTCTAAAACAACTGAGATGGATGTTGGGACAACCCCACAACATCCTAATGAACTAACTAGAAAACAATGAAAATAGATCCTCTAGAATGCAAGGAGGCTCACCGACTGACTCTGAACTGCTCACTGGATCAACGGTGCGCTGGAATGCTGATCTTAGTTACTTGTGTCTGCATCATAAGACGATGCAGGCTAACAGTACATTGAATGTACGAGTATGCGAGTTGGAATGCTAAAACAACATAGGCTTGAAAGGGAAATCTGAAAGAAACACTTACCTTGACTCTTCTCAACTCATGAATACTTAACTGAACTCATTTCAATATAAAACAGTTTAAAACAAGTGCAATATGAAGAAAGCTATTCAAAAACATGATGTCAACTCTGTGTATATACAAGGATACAACATAACTCTGAAATGTATGTAAAAATACAATAAACTGATGTATATACAAATACAATAACTTCTGTGGGAGTTTCTCTAACTGACAACTATCACATAAGAGCTATAGTGATGATACAACGATCTACCTCACGCTGCCAGCACATCCTATACGCAGTCAGAGGTATAGGACCTGAACTACTAAGTGGATCCACTAGTCTATTGTGAAAATGGTTCATCTAAAAAGTATGACCCTTTATAACCCATGGTGGCTACATGGTTTTATGGAGACGTGAGTTATCTGAACTCATGCTCGCCCCCAATTCGATGCTCAATACTACTCCCAAAATATGATACTAGCTCTTTATGTTTAAAAACATACTTCTTTCTTTGGTTTGAGATAATTACTCAAAACTTAACTTAAAAGCTCTCTTGGAATCGATGTTCCCTTTTCTTGCTCAAATGTGAAAACATTTATAAACTCTTTGGGAATACTTAGTTCCCTTATAGCTTTTTGAGAAATGAACTCAACTCTTTACTCTTTGCTTAATTTGAAACTTAAGTCTTAAAACAAAGTTAAAACATTCGTTAAAGACTTTTGAAAAACTTTATAAACTTTGTTTTGACTTGCTTCGATTTGACTCTTAACTTCTCTTGACTTTGATCCTAACTTTCCTTGAATTGAATTATGGATTCAAGTTTCATGATCTCATGTTTATGGATGATTTCATGATGTTTAGATGTACCTTAGAGTGTTGGAATCAACTAGAAAACATAGGTACATTGCTAAGGAACTAGTACGAAAAGTAGGGGAAAAATAGGAAGAATTGGTGTCCCTGGCGCTCTGAGAGGCGTGGGGCGCCAACCCTTGAGATTCAGAGACCAAGTTGGGGAGCTTTGGCTAGCGCAGCGCCCCAAGACTCAACATTCAGGGACTGCTTTGGGGGGCGTTGGCTGGTGTGACGCCCTACCCCCTTCCCCAGGTGTTTGACGACTTTTCTTTTTTGTTTTTCAATTCTAACCCTCTAAACTTCAATGGTTCTTTCCCCAAACACTTAGGATCATTTATACCCTCAATATATGATAGATTCAAATCGAAATTACACCCGAAAACATGAATCAAATCGCAAGAAACTTCAACAAAATAACCCACAAGAATTCAAATGAATTTCATCAATAACTCAAAGGATTTACTTTCAATCACACATATTTCGCTGAATTGAATCATGATTGGCGCGTGGGTGAACTAACCCAACGCTATGTGATCTCACATACCTTTTTAGGGATCACCCTGACGAAATCCACAAGCTATCCTTGACGAAATCGACGAATCTTGAACGTTCTTCTCTTTTCTCCTCTCCTCCAAGCCCTAACGTGAAATCCCAAATTCTAAAACTGACTAAAATTTGATTTGACCCATATTAAACTCCTAAAATCGGATTAAAATAATAGGGCAGTTAAACAACTAAAATACCCCTTGAAATTCCGGATTGGACATTTCCTTAATCCAATTGCCCAACTTCCAAAGGGCATAACTTACTCATACGAACTCGGAATCGCGCAAACTTGGCGGCGTTGGAAAGATCATTCCAAGAGCTTTCCAACCATATCTGGAACTACACCTATCTCATCCTGATCTAGGAGTTATGATCATTTGAAGTTGACCAAAAACTCACTTTAACTTATTTAAACAAATTTCCAGATTTGTCACTATTTCCAAAATTGACACTATTTCAAATTCTTAGCTTTTTCCTAACTATTTCAAATTGCGAGATGTTACAATAAGAAACTTAAAAGGAAAGGGAAATGATTGGAAATTTCCCTTGTTTTCGTGGACCAAAGAGAGAGTGTAAATATTGTTCTTAGTTTATTGAGCCTGTGATAGAACGAGAGTCATTTTACATCATATGTAAGGGGTTTCTTTGTTTGGATCGAAGAAACAATGTCATTCAATCGTTATCAAATTGAATATGGAGTAATATTTTTGTGTTCATGAAAAGGATAGAAAGTCAATCTTATAATAACATTTTCTTGTATCGTTAGAAAAATCTCAATTTATTGAACCTTTGAGTAGAATCAAATAGACAATTTCAAGATGTTATATTTTAGGAGCTTAGCTTGTGTGATTCAATTAGAAAAATCTCAATTAATTGGATCTCCAAATATAATCAAATAGAAAATTTTCAAGATATCATGTTTTAGGAGTTTAAATTATATTTTAGGAGTTTAGATTATGTGATTGAATAAATATTCATACGAATGAAGGAATCCTTTTTTTTCTCCCTTTCTTCAAATTACGAAGAGCCATTTTGCTTCCTATTTAAGGGGCTACTTGGTTCGAGCCGAAGATGTAATGCCACAATCTTTACTAAATTAAATGTATTTTTTTATTTGTGAAGATTCTAAGTGCCTTTTGCCTCTAATAGGCCATGAACTAAATCAAAATCATTTCTTATAAATCCATATAAAGTAATATCATTTTTTTCATCGGATTTGAATAAAAATCAAAACTCATTTTCATATTTGTCTAAATAAATATTCATATTAATTTTTAAGCATGAAGACTTATTATTACTTTTGGATGCAACTATTCTTGTATACTCTAATTACCACCAATATAATATAATATGTGATATTTGCATCAATTCAATAAAAACACTACATATAATTTTTTCATAAATTGTTAGCATTATTAAATTATAATTAATTAGTACACATTTCTATTTTTTAATTTTTATTTATAACTTAACTATATTAAATTCAATGTCGTTTAATTTAATTTAATTTTTTTGATATTTTTGAATATTAAAAATTGAGTAATAAACAAATCCCTAATTCAAAATTTTCAAAACCTTAACTGAAGACCGCTGGTAAGAGAAGAACTGAACGCCGCTGAGCCTCTCGCCGTCGCCGGAACCTCTCGCCGCCGCCGCTATCAATCACCACTTGCCGTGGCCGTCTGCGCTGAAGTTTAGAGGTATTGTTTGACTTATCGTCAACTGGCAATTCATGTTTTTAAGGATTAGGGGAACTAATGTATTAATTGAGCTATTGTACTATCAGAGACGGAGTCAGAGTTTGAAGTTTATGCTTTCTGAACTTAGTCAAGGAACACTTTGGAATATTATGAATTATGTATAACGATCACCTTTTTTTGGTGTCCTATTGATTGATGCTTGTTTTTTCCTTAAAAATGGTGGCTAAAGGTATATGAGCACTTTTCATATTCTTATTGAGCTGTCTATGCCTGATTTTTAACTTTTAATATTGCCATCAAATATGTTCAGTAGCTTGTTCAACTGTGTTAGTCTTGTTGTAATTAGAGGACCTGATGATAATTTTATTTCTGTTGTTAACCTTGCTAAATACAAGGTGAAACTGCTCCATAGTCCTATATACGAATACTTAATGCTCTGGTTAATGCATATGAGAAGCATGAGAAATTTTAGAATGGAGAGAATGAGGGCCAGGTTAGCTGCACTATGTAGTATGTTCGTAGGGGCCATTATTTGCTGGGACGATAGGCTGACACTCCCCCATGTGTGTTGCTAGATCTCATGTACGTAGGGTCACAATGTGTATCTCAGTTTCTATTACAGTGTAGCTATTACCTTAAAGTTCTAGTTTCAGTTGTCTGCTTACATGTTCAGCTTACAGTTTCAGTTTTGAGTCTATTATCAGTTTCAGACCTTGAATTGTTTACATGCTTTCTGTGGATGCATTTTCTTCGTGGTATGTTTATCCCAGAAGGTCTTGCCCTGTCTTCTTAGGAGGTAGCTTATGGGACTTACTGGGTATCCTTCAGTCCAGTGATACTTAGCTCGTTTAGGCATGTCACGTCATGTGGCAGGTGTTGAGAAGAAGCACATGTCTACGGGCAGTGACAAGGTCTGTTGATTCATACCAGTGGTAGCAGATTTTTCCCCATTTTTTACTTTTAGATATTTTCATTATTCTTGGGAGATGCCCCAGGTTCATTTATTCAGATTTTAGTTAGAGGCCCGTGACTGGGTTAGCTTTCTAGATGTTTTGAAGTTAAGTTCCTTATTTAGTTTGATTGCAATATTTAATCAAGACATTGGGGGTGTGACAACCCAGGCTAAGAATTTTCTTTGATGGGGTACTGCATGGATCCGCACTGATAGCAAAAAGAAAAAAATGAACTTGCTATAGATTAAAAAGACCCACATGGGATAAGGAGCCATATCTTGTAGTCATTGTTTTGCAAGTCTACCAAATTTTGACTTTTCGCAAGTGTGTATTTTTGTGCAGAACTTGATAAATCTTTTTGGTGTGTATCTTGCCTCAGATTTAAGGAGGCATGTTTTATCTGAGTGAAATAGAACACAAACTGAGGTTGCCACCTCATCTCCTAAACCTTCCACTTAATGAAGCAATCAAAGGAGAGCTTGAGGGTCTCTTCGTGGATAAGGTTCATTTTCTTCTTCTCTTTTGAGGCTGCATTATTGTTTTCAATCCATTTCCCAACTGAAAAAGATTTGGCATTATTACAAGACACTAACTTTTGGACACGATGCTAAGGTTATTGCAAATTTGGGCCTCATCATATCTATTTACGATATTCGCTCCATAGATGATGGTTTTATCTATCCAAGTGAAGGTGCCTCCACATATACGGTATTCTACTTGTTGCTGCAGTTAATCATATTTAGTTTAACTTGAATGGATTCTACAAACATGTATCATCGTCCCTCATGAGAGATTCCCATTTTCCAAACCCGCTCGTTGAAACTGTTTTCTTTTGACATAAAATGATTTCAATTGATATGTTCTCTCGCTTTATGAGTATCACTGCCCCGTACCAGGTATTGTATTTGCACTTTTTCCTTGCTCTGAATATGAATTTGTGATTATGTGGATCTCATTCCTGGGCAGGGATGCAAAGCGACACAACTTCATTCTAAATTATATCTTCCCCCTTCACTGATCCAACCAAAAATATTAAAATGAAGAAGCTAAATTACCCCTCAAATTTTTAAAGAATAAGAGATGTGGATAAGTGTAAGTATCTTTGGTCTTCAATAAATCTGTTACTACCTTCCTTGATATGATCGATATGAAGATCTGATATCTCATTGGTTAAGAAAAAGTGCTCAACATCCTTGTTTTTGCCTACAACAGAAACCTTTCAATTAGAGGAATAATGATGAATCCTGGCTTGACAACACAATAACCAAAGACACTTATGTGTCAACTATTTTCCGTAATATTGATTTTTTCCTTCAAGGCCAGAGTTAGAAATATCCAATAGTTTTGCATGAAGGGGGTGCAACGCCATCTAAAAATATAGAGAACATATACAACCCTGCAAGGGTAACATGGAACAAGTCCTTCAGAAATATAGCTTACAAAAAAAATATCAACTTAATCAGTTAGCTATACGAGCAAAGCTGAATCAGTAGCTAATGGTTTCATCCTGTAAAAACAGCCTTAAAATTGGTAAGGGACAAATACTCATCTTGATAAAAGACCAATTAGGCTTTCGAGTGTATTGGCATTTGAAGAAGCAGTTGTGAGATCCTACTTACAGCAATGCACTTACGAGTTCCAATGACATCTTTGGCATGCTAATATGATGTTCTTAGTTGCAAGAAGTTCCGTAATAGTTCTATAGTTTATGAGCTAGTTCTGGACTAGCATTTCGGTGGTATTAAATGTGTCATATGACTGCAGGCTATCATCAATCTGCTTTCTATTGTTTGTAGTATCTTCTGTGATAACATGTTCATTAATACAGAAAAATCATGGTGTCTTGCAGGTCAAGTTTAGACTGATAGTGTTTCGCCCATTTGTAGGAGAAGTAATAACTGCTAAACTCAAAGAGTCCAAGGCAGAGGGTTTGCGCTGTAAGCCTTGCAGAATGCTTACAATTTATTCTCATCTAATATCCTGTCATATATGTTGTGAGACATATTTAGCCAAGTATTACAATCTGCAAGAGAACTATCTAGCACTGGAAACTATTAGTTGTTGAACCATGCAAACCATATTGAAGGATGTATGGTTCATAGTTTCTTAAGGCGTAATACATAAACAAACACTTGAGCACACCTAGACACCTCAACTTGTCTCCACTGTGTTAGTCGAACAATCCAACTTACAAAATGATCATCTAGACACTTACAAAATTTATGTGACACGTCATCATAGCGTGTCCACGAGACGCAGTGGGGACTAGTTGGAATGTTTAGTTGCCATTTGAGACCAAGTTGAGTTGTCTAGATGTGCACTCTCAAAGTTGAAGTGCTTACCTGCCAGTTGAGGCCAAATTTGACTGTCCGTTTATACATTATACCGTTTCTTTATGATTTTAAATATGTAGTTTATGAAGTGAGATATTCTCATTCTAGATATTCTTCACATCCCAAATCTTTCAGAAAAGGCATCTTAATGTTTGTTCTGTTTTGCGCTTGACAGTGTCACTTGGATTTTTCGATGACATTTATGTACCCGCACCTCTATTGCCAGATCCATCACGTTCTGAGCCTGATCCTGAAAACAAGTAAGTATTTTTTGTCGCAACGTCTAATTTTGTGGTGGGATCTCATGTACTGGTTGGTCTTTCTGAATCATACATCTTAAGTTTCTTTGCATATGGTTTTATTGTCCATTTCAGGAACCAAGTTAGGTGGATATGGAAGTTTGATGAACTAGATTATCCTATTGATGGCGTAGATGAGGTTGTTAGACCGAACAATTTTGCTAATGTTGCACCATTTTGTCAAATGATGTATGTTAAAATTTTGATGATTGTATAAACTGCAGATTAGGTTCCAAGTCCATAATGTTAGTTATCCATCAATGCCTCTTGAGCAAGATAAAGATTCAAAGCCATTTGCACCAATGGTCATAAAGGTATGTCAATTCTTAACTTCATTCCTGTTGTATACTATTTTTTTTGTTTCCCACCATTAAATTGATATAATTGAGCCACACATATTATAAAGGAACATGTCTTGCAAAAATTTAAACTTCAGACGATTTAATCTTGGAATTTTAGATGAAACAATGTTGTTTATCAGTAGCATTTGGTCACACTAAGTAGCTATATCTTGAAATCGAGGTAAAAATGGAATGATTATTTTCAATTAGTTGACAGGGGAATTAAAATTCCTATGGAGCAGGTCCTTTAAACGTTGTGTGGTATTCATGACTCAAACTGGAACTTTTTTTAATAATGGTGGTGTTGGGGCCAAGTTGTGCGCCTCGGTTATTTCATCGATTACCTACTACCTCCCACCAATATAGCTACCAGATAACTTCACTATCAAGGCTCATGCAGATAGAAAGAGATCACCTATTTTTTTTTTGTGTGTCTGTTTGGATTTGAAGACTTCTTGGGTCTTGAGCATGGGTGAATTTATAGGCTTTAGTACGAGGCATGAAAACCAATGGCCGCTTCGTAAAATTAGATATTTTATGTATATATTTTCTATAATTGGAATAATATTATCTTTTCCTTTTTCTTTTTTAGTGGTGCACCCATTTTCTAGAGATCTTAGAGTTGTCTCTTGTCTCGAGGCCACACCCTTGGGTGCAAATTGAAACTTCTGAAAAGGTTACCTAAACATCATGTAATAGTGAGAACTCTAATGGAAAGATTAGGAGTGACTGTCGACACCTAGTAATCTCATATGAGATAATTACCTGGACAGTATCAATGGACAATCAAGAAGGCTCATGGCCTAGGTTGGTGACTTCCTTTTTACTTTCGAGGGTGCTCGCTTAAGGTCGGACCCAAAACCTTGTAATCTCATATCAATGATCCTTGGTAGATAATGCCATTCATGCCCTTTTTTTTTCTTTTCTTTGCAAGGTTGAAATGAGCTTTTTGTCCCTTTTTATGTTAATCTTGCATTTTGGTGTGTTTGAAAATTTCTCCTCTGTTATTCTTATTTCTCTAGTCTTATTTTACTAACTTTAAAATTAAAATTCTGTTTTTTTGTTTGTATATTGCTAGGGATCTCTTGATGCTGATGGTCTAGGACCAATTTCATGGTGGATATAGCAGAATTGTTGTATAATCTTGACTAAGGAACTATCTATACAACTATATTTTTTGTTGATAGAGAGAAAAACAGTGACTGTAATTTTGACATCATGAGGAGAGCAGCAAAATGAGCTGGAAAAGCCATTTTCAAGTAGTGTTCGATTGATTGGTGTGAGTTTATCGACACAAAAGATTTGTCCAAGTCACTTCGATAGAAAGGAAGGAATAGTCTGTATATTTCGTTGAGGATTTCTGAGAAAAAATTGTTGCAGACTACTTCGATTTCTTATAAAAGATATTCAATTCTAACAATTGAAGTGGATATTTATGCTTAGCCATACTTGTTGATGTAAAATCATCTTCCAATCAATAAAAAATTCTTTCAAAGTGACTTAGATAAAATGTACCTATTGGGATATGGTATAATAATCTTTACCATAAGGTGGATGATTTACTTTGAATAAAGTGGAAATAAAATCACTATTTCCAGTATCAACTGTTGAATCTCCAAAAACAAAACTTAATGTGAAATCTTAATGTGAAATTGGGCATTGATTTTATGTTGATGTTGAAACTGATGCTTTGATTATTTCTCGTATCTTTTGATAATAAAAATTCATAACTTATCTTGTCGACGTTAAACTCTTTTGGATGGTGAAATATTGGAGACATGGATACATGACAAATATATATATTTTTTGTGGTGAATTACTGGAGAAAGAAAGATACAGGGAAAGGAAATTGTTATTTTTAGAAAAAATGAATAGCAATTAATTAAGGGAGGAACAAATTTTTGGGATGAGAGCACTTAATGAAAATGATCTAAATATATTTTTTATATCTAATTTTTTTATTTTGGCCCACCAAACAGGAACACACAATATCCCTTCCTTGCCTTCAACTCTCTTTTTTTTTTTCTTCTTTCTCGCCCAATTTGCGGTGTTCGTATTAGAATACAATTAAATTTGAATCTGTATCAATTTTTTTTGAAAGGGTTCACTTAGTAATTGATTCACTTGTTCACACAAATTCGAAGAGTTATCGCGGATGAGCCACATTCAGGTTCGACATATAAATCTATGCAACATAAATGAAGCACACCACGATGACAACCCTTTTCGTTTCGTGAAAGTCTCTGACAGAGAAAAAAATTGTAGGTGATAATACGCTCTTGCTTCTTATCTTATCTAGAGAGGGGTAGCAAAAACTTTCTATCGGTTCTTACATTGAGGATAAAAAGCTCCCTAATAAAGATAATTTCATATCTAACAAGGCTCAAATTCAAAATTTCTAATTATAAATTATAAATGATTGAATACTTACCTCTCCTTCAAGTTCTAAACAATGGACAAGTATGAAAAGCCTATCGTATATTTGAATGCTTCTTTGATTGAAAAAATAAAAAAGAATGCCTTTGTGGATTTTTTAAAATTATCTTTTAATATAAGTTTTTTTCTTTATATGATTATGAAGTTATATGGAACACTCATGTGCCAATATTTCACATTATACAATATTCTTAAAGGATTTTCAACTTTAAGTTCTTTAGAAATCTAGATTTTTTTTCATTATTTACTTGCTTTAAAAGGCAAATTATTTAGTTCATCTTTTGCTTTAAAGTGCAATTTAATTAGTTTATTTTAGCAATAAAATAATAATTTTGATAGTATTATTTAATCTCTTATTTGATAGTCTTTTTAATTTACGTATAACTAACACATGCATCCTATTTGGTCCTATTCTTATATAGAGTAAATCATGGAAATTATTTACATTTTTTTTACTTTATTTAAAAGTTAGTGTTTCGTTATGAAAATATCCAAATATCTGTTTTCACTTTTAATATGTAGCTGATGGACTAAATGTGACTAATATGTATGTGTGGAAAAAAGTAGCTATACTGAAGCATATATGGAATCTTACAAAGAAAAAGGATAAATTATGAATTGTCACAAAAATTATAACCAAGTACAATTTCATCTTCGACTCCAACTTAAAAAAATTTCAAATAAAATGATCACGTATTTCATTTCTATGACCAAACGTCTACTAATACATCCTATTCAATTCTATTCTTATTCTAATATATCCTATTCATTTAATATAACATCAATAAAAATTAATACCAGTATAACTCTATTATCCAATATTATTCTTATATACCATCCCAAATGACCCTCGAGGGAATTGGAATTTATCCATATCTAAGGGACTAAAAATGCAAACTTCAAAAAGTTCCTATAAATGACTACAAGCTTATTGTGACAATTTTTACTTCTTCAAGTGAAACAACACAACCCTTGAATGCCTCTATACCCTTCGCAATTTTGCTTCTCTGATAGAAATTTTTTCCTTAATGGGTTGTTATTAGTACAAAGGTATGATCTTTTTCTCTTTTCTTCTTATGGGTATGTTTTAATCTGATGAAAAAAATCTTAATTTGTCCAGCCATTGTTGAAGAACTAAGTTTTTTCATTTCTTTTTCTTGTTTTAGTCTGTTCTTGTTGATTTGGGTTATGTTTTTATCAGGGAGATGAAATTGTTTTCTTGTTTACTGATTAAAAGAAGTGATTGTGTTTATGTTGAAATGTTACATCTTTTTTTTTTTTTTTTTATGTCATTGATTGAGTAGGGATGTATAGTTTTGTTTATTTGTTTATGCCCCTCTTTGATTTTCTTGATCTTTTGTTGTGTTTATCTGTTTTGCATTGACCCTTTTAGGTTTTCATCCTGAAAAGATTTGTTTTTTGGATGACTGGGGTGTTGGGGTTAGCTTGAGTTTGTACTCTGTCTGTCAAGGAGTTTGAATGGATAGGTACAAAATACATACTTTTTTTTTGGCTTTGTTGGGATTTGAACCTGAGACCTAATGGTACTCAACGACTCCATTAATCAGTAGGGTGTCCCTGAAAAGGTTTGTATCTGTGTTTGGGGGTTGATAGGTTATGAACAACCCGCAAGAAGGAAAATAAAGGTGTGGTTGTGTCATGTGTGTGTTGTTGTAGTTGGTGGGGTTGGGTATTTTCTTTTGGAAAATCATCATGGAGGCAATGGTAGTAATTTAAGATTCTGATGCACACTCAGTTTGTTTGTTTCTTGAAATAGGAAATCTGTGCAAGTGTTTTGGGGATGCTAGGTTATGAATAACCAGCAGGAAGAAAAAGCGCATGAAGGAAGGGTTGTTGTAGTTGGGGGGTTGAGTGTTTATTTTTGAAAAGTCATCGTGGAGGCAATGGTAGTAATTTAAGATTCTGATGTACATTCAGTTTGTTGTTTCTTGAAATTGGAAATCGGTCCAAGTGTTTGGGGGTTGGTAGGTTATGAACAGCCGGTAGGAAAAAAAAGCGCGGGAATGGGTTGTTTTAGTTGGTCGGGTTGAGTGTTTCCTTTTGGAAAGTCGTTGCGGAGGCAATGGTAGTAATTTTAAGAATTTCTGATGCACATTCAGTTTGTTTGTTTCTTGAAATAGGAAATCAGTGCAAGTGTTTGGCGGTCGCTAGGTTATGAATAGCCTGCACGAAGAAAAAGCGCGGGAAGGGGTTGTTGTAGTTGGTGGGCCTGAGTTTTCTTTTGGAAAGTCATTGTGGAGGCAATGGTAGTAATTAGGAATTTCTGATGTGCAAGTCTGTTCGTTTCTTGAAATAGGAAACCGGTGCAAGTGTTTCGGGGTTGGTAGGTTATGAACAACCTGCAAGAAGAAAAAGCGCAGGAAGGGGGGGAGGATGTAGTTGGTGGGGTTGAGTGTTTTCTTTTGGAAAGTCATCGTGGAGGCAATGGTAGTAATTTAAGAATTTCTGATGCAAATTCAATTGTTCGTTTCTTGAAATAGGAAATCGGTGCAAGTGTTTGGGGTTTGCTAGGTTGAAGAAAAAGCGGGGGAAGGTGTTTCTGTAGCTATGTAACTAGGTCTAAGTTTTCCAAGGATGCCCGATGCATTTGTTATTACTCCCTCCGGTAAAAAATAATTGATGTTTTAGCCTCTAAAAGTTGGTCCAAAATAATTGATGTTTAACATAACCAATTCTTTTCCCTAAATTTGTCCTCGATACATTCCTAATCCTGTAATCCCGATGATAATTATGTCAACCAAAAAGTAAAAGAAAATCATAATTAAGGGTATTTTAGTCAAAACCCTTCTTAGTTTTTAGGAGTAAGTGAATTCCTAATTCATTATTCATGTGCCCAAGCCTAAAACATCAATTATTTTGGACCAGAGGGAATATTTATTTAATTTTAGTGAAGCGATTCCAGTAGAGAAATTATTCTCTCAGGTATTAGTACATTAAAGCTGTCTTTCTTCTCATTGTGTATATATGCTAGCAAGTTGCTGAAGTTCCTTCGTCATGCTGGGCTCCCTATTATTTGTAATCCCGAAAGAGCCGCTAAGTGACTGTACATCTGTCTTCTTCTCTCCCTCAATAAAAAATTTGAAGGTTGTGAAGAAACCATATTGTTTACAGAATGACTAACCTCATTATCTGATTCTCCGTCACTTAGCTGCAGCTTGTGCCTACCTGCCTAGTCATGCTCGTTTTCTGTTCTGAAATAAATTAAATTAGGAGACACGTAACTGGTGTGATACATAGTAGTCGTGGTATTTCTCAAGTAGCTTCTTGTCCATCAATTTCTATTACTATCTACTGTCTCTTGTATTTTGATTATCACACTTTTTTGGTGTAGTTAATGTTCCTCTTTTTAGAATGTTTTGTATAGTATTTTGCCATGATCTCTTCACTTCTGTTATTTTTTTTCCGATCTGCTTTGATATGCTTTTCCTTGAGCCAGGGGTCAATCGGAAACATCCTCTCTACCTTCCAAGGTAGGGGTAAGGTCTGCAAACATTCTACCCTCTCAAGACCCCAGTTATGGGATTACACATGATATGTTGTTGTTGTTTAGCTGATGTGATTAATAGTACATGCAGTTTCGTCTGCTTAATTTTCCACAACCCAAGAAGTGCACTGTTTTAGTTCTATTACCCTATGTTTTCTTTTTTGATAAGGCGTCCTATTATCCTCTGTTAAAAGGTTGCACTGCTGGTTTATGATGTCGATTTTCCTCAAATTAGCATTGCTTACCCTGTATCCTCAATTATTTATGATTCATAGTATGAAACTTAAGGTCCTAGCCTTAAATTGGTAAGCTGCAGTTATTTAGAATAGTAGTCTCATAGTTTATTTTCTCTCCAAAGCAGGTAAATACTTCCTAATATTGAAACCTTAAAACAAGTATTTGCCCTTTTTAGTTCTGGGGCCTGGTGAAAAGATGGCTTCCAGAAGACAAGTACCAGCATCATATGGACGGTCACTACAAGCTCCAGGAATGGTGCTTCATGAAGAATTGGCTGCTGGAAGCCGCCGCATTGATCCATTTCCTCCTCCTGAGCTTCGGCACAACATATTTGCTGCTAGGGCTGCAGAGCTAGAACACCTTGCTGGAGACCATCATCGGTTGGCAGCTACATATGTTGCCTTAAAGCAGGATCTTTCTGCTGCTCAGCGAGAGGTACTGAAACTCGATGAACATATAAGAAGTACTCAAACAGAAAGTGACATCCAGGTCCGGTTGTTGCGTGACAAGATTGCCAAGATGGAGGTGGACCTTAGAACCATTGAGAGTACGAGGAAAGATGTGGAAGAGGTCCATTTGGAAGCACGAAGCTTGGTATCAGCCAATATGGAACTGAGCGGAAAAATACATCACGTTATGCAGGAATTGGAAAAGGCTCATGCAGATGTCAAGAAGCTACCTGAGATGCATGCTGAACTTGATTCCTTAAAGAAAGAACACCAGGAGCTGCGGTAAGTTAAACATGTCTCTTTTACCAACCTTCCTCCAGGAAAATAAACCACAGGTCACTACTATTTAATTGTCTTGACTTGCTGTTTAGGTGGAAGCATGAACAGATTCCTTACCCTTTAATTACCATTGAAAGAGCTTCCCCTACCCATTACCCTTGAATGGACTTGGTTGACTCTTCAAAAATTTCAATGGTTGTGTGCTGGATACTCCAAAACTAGTGTATTTTTGGAGAATCCGACATAGGTGCGGCATCATTTTTGGAGAATCCGACATGGGTGCGGCATCATTTTTGGAGAGTCTGGCAACATTGATGTATGGCTATATATCAATCAAGTATGCATCATTTCCAAACTAGTCGGGCTGGCTTTACAAATTCTTCGTATTTGTGTTGCTCTTTTAGACACATTTTATTCCAATATTAAATATTTTGTCTTTTAAGACTAATTATGGGTTCTATAGAACTAGAGGGTTCTCTAAATCTTACACTTACTCCTATTGAATGTACAAGTTTCTAACTCAAATAGGAGGACTCGTGGAAAACACCGGATCTAATGTGAGTGCAACAACAATAACTAAAGCTTTATGATCAACTGTCATTGCTTTTATGGATCCTTTGTTTCTCTTTGCTCTTAACCAAGTCCACAACGATTTCGAGAGATTATAGGTCGTTTGAGATAACTTTCTCTATTATATTTTTGGTTCACCTTGTAAGTTTTGATCAGACTCGGTCATTATGGTGTCACACCTATTCGCCTATGCGTAAACGTCCAAAATTCATTTAAATATAATACTGCCTGGAATTGTTAGGGTATAGAATTTGGATCCTGCCATGTTGATAAGATGTCTTTATGACTGCATGCCATGTGAAGCATAACTCTCTGGATTCCGTAATCATGATTGTTTTACTTTATTGGAACATGCAGCAAGACCTTTCAGTATGAAAAAGGTTTAAACATAGAGAAAGTTGAGCAAATGAAACTCACGGAGAAAGAATTGATTGACATGGCCAATGAAGCAGAGAGATTGCGTGCTCAGGTGGTAATTACTGAGAAAAGAGCTCAAGGTAATCAGTATGCTAATATTCGGCACATCAACATTATGCTAATTTGGGCTCCTTTTCTGTATCTAACTATCTATTGTTCATTTTGAGCCGAGGGTCTTTTGGAAACAACCTCTCTACCTTTTTAAGGTAGGGGTAAGGTCTGCGTACACACTACCCTCCCTAGACTCCACTTGTATCTATTTATCATATATGCTGAGTATTTTCATGTTCCGTAGGTATTGATCCTTATGGTCACCCCTACATGAACTCAAATCCCATGTATCCAGCTCCTCCTATGCATCTACCGGCCCATGTAGACAGTTACCAGAGATCTCATATTCCAGTAGCCCTTGGCGCTATGGGAGACTCAACGTATCCATATGGCAGTAGCATAGCTGTAAGTGCTCAGGGCGGAACGGGAGCTCCACCTCTCCCCAGTACTGATGGCAATGTAGCATGGGGAGAAAGTCATGATGCTCCACAAGCCGGGAGCTGAATTTTCTGCAGTGTAATTTTTGGTCTGCTTGGCAAAGGTTGAATCTTCGAGATGTCAACCGGTTTTGCTTTAATCCAAATTTAATTTTAACAGCTCTAATGTAAGATTTGCAGGGCTGAAACAGTAGTTCATGAGACTAGAGAATTGTACATTTCAGTATGTCAACTTAGTTTACCTGCACATTTTCTAGTCCATGGAATATTTTTTGTTTTATAGATTATTAGCAAAGGGCACTTTTCATATTATTTTTTATATGCGGTTACTTGGGACAAGAGTCTTTTGGCAATGACCTCTCTACCTTCTTAGATCGTAATATTCGATCATATGAATAATTAATTTCATTATTTTAGTACAAATAGTGGAATAAACGATCTCAAGATAAATAATTAATTTCTTTATTTTAGTACTAATACACCTAATCAAATGGATAAAATAACAGAAAAGAATCTTGTATTTTATATTGAGAGTATTATCCTTTAATGAAGAGATTATTATCCTTTATTACTTGTACCAAAATCGTTCAACCCAAGGAAGCCATCACACACTTTTCTGAATTTTCCTACTTGATCTTTTAAGGGAAAACATACCTTCTATTAGTTGTTTTCGAAATGTCGATTTTCTTGTCTATGCTAAGGTAACAACAACAACATATCAAATATTTTTCATAAGTAGGATCCAAAAAGATTAGAGTAAACACATATATTATCCTTACCTCGTGGAGACAAATAAGTTGTTTCTGAAGACCCTGACTCAAGCAATTCATACCAAAGCAATTGAAAAAGAAAATACAAAAGAAAACATAACAAATAATAGATAGATAAAGCGTAACAATAACATTCAGAGCATCCAAAACGTTAGATAGTAATCAAAATCAAAGGACAAAGAAACTATAAAAAGAATATTAATAATATTGGTATGCAAGGAGAATGAAAAAGACCCTTAGTACGTGAAAAAAGAGAGTCAAATAGAACCAACAAGCTTTGATTTCGAGTGGCATTTCACCTCTAACCACAGCTCATCGCCAATTCTTCAATAGATTAATTTTTTATTTATTTGTTTCTCCAACATAAAAAAAATACCTTTTTTGGTCAATGAAACAAAAAAAGAAAAGAAAATGATTTAGAAAAATTGAGAAATAAATTTTGAAAATAACACCCAAATGAATCGGATCCAAAATTATAAACTTATAATTAACCATTCACTAATTTTTTTCATTTTGAGTCAATTTTGAAGCTTCTTCTCTCATTGATTTGCATCAGCCATGGCCGAGGTAATGCAAAAATTTTCCAAGAAAAGACAAACCCTAGTTTTATTTTGTTTTAATTGTTTATTTTCCCTTTTTCTAAGTTTTTTTCATTCGTTTTTGATGATTCTATAGTTATTCATGGATTTCAAAGGATTTAATTGATATATGGTAGAATAAACATAAAAGAACAAAAATTTTTTCTTATAGAAAATTTCTGTGCTTTCTTTGGCGATCTGTACAGCTTTTCTGTAGAATTCATGTTGTTGGTTGTTGTGGTTGATGTGTATGTGCTTAGATAAATATGTATAGGTGTGGGGATTTTTTTTTTGTGGATAACTATGGTGTCTGGACAAGCTTGCACGCACCTCGACTAGTGGTTGGTGTGTGTGTTTAGATAAATATGTATAGATGTGGGATTTTTTGTTTTAATAACCGTGGTGTCTCGGCCAACTTACGTGCACCTTGACTAATTCCATGGGATTCATGCCACCTCCCACTAGGAACTAGGTAATTTTTTCCACCAAGGCTAGAACAAATGGAAAGATATTGTCTAGTGTTTTGTCTCTGCGGAGATTTGGACGTGAGACCCATGGTTCTCAACTTATTTCATTGACCACTAGGTCACACCCTTGGGCGTAAGGTGAGTTTTAGTTTTTTTTTTTTTAAGTCAAAGAATTGCTCTTGTAGAGGTTATTGGTTTTATAGGTTGTGGATGAATATGGAAATTGGTGTATGGAAAGGTGTAAAGTCCAAGTCTTTGATCTAAGCGTTTTCATGTGAGAAATAACTAAAGAACTAAAACATGAAGGGGGTAAGGTTGAATATTTTGGATGAATAGGTTGCTTAATGGAAGGATTGGAGTATTGGATTCAACTAGAATTCTCAGCCCTGTTGCGATTTGGTACTAAGATCTAGCAGCAGTTTATATTGATGTTTGAGGTTCCATCTCCAGCTCATAATGAGTTCTAGAAATTGTTAGTTTGTAGCCTACAAGCTTTGAGTATTTTGCCCTTTTAGTGAGATGGTGATATATGATAGAGTTGATATAAAAGAACAGATTTCTAAAGAAAATTTCTGTAGGTTCTTTGGCAATCTATGCAGTTCTCTGTAGAACCCGTGCTGCTGGTTGTTGTGTATGTGCTTAGATAAATTTTTATAGATGTGTGAGTTTTCTTTTGTGTGTAAAGGTGAGATAGTTCTTTGTTAAAGAATTGTCTGTGGAGGTTATTAGTTTTATGAGTTGTGGATGAATATGAAAGTTGGTTTCTGGAAAGGTGAAGTCTTTGATCTAAGCCTTTTTTCCTGAAAGAAATAAAAAAAAGAAAAAAAAAAACTAGAAGGGGAAAAAAGTTGAAAAATTTGGATGTTGTATAATTGAAGGATTACGTTATTGGATTCAACTATAGTGCTGGATTGTGATTGAATGAAGAGAATTTTTTGGCAGTTTTGTGAAATATTACTAAGCTTTAGCAGCAATGTAGATTGATGTTTGAGGTGTGAGGTCTCATCTCCAGCTTAAACGAGTTCTAGAAATTGTTAGTTTGTAGCCAACGCGCTTCAAGTATTTTTCTTTTTCATTGAGATGGTAGTAAGTTAATCGAAAACAACCTCTCTACCACCCAAGGTAGGGATAAGGTCTACGCACACTCTACCTCCCCATACCTCACTTGTAGGATTACACTGGGTATGTTGTTGTTGTTGGTTGTGATAAGTTAATCGAATTTGTAATCAGGTTAGCAATTCACTTAAGGTCGATAACATGTTCAAGGTTTTTACTATAGAGATTATGTGAGGCTCGTCTGTGGAAATGACTTCTTAAGTTTCTCTCAGTATTTTTGATAACAAGGTTGCTTAGTGTCACTGCGTTTAAAGGATGGGTGACATGATGTTACCAGAAACTACTGTGATGTTTTCAGCATCGTGGTAAAGATTTTTCTTGGTTTTGGAATGTTTTCTTTTCTTTAATCTGATTCCACTCCAAGTAAAGTGAATATGTTTACCTGTCACATTAAGTTCCTCAATTTAACTTGCAGTTTGGTCTAGATCTTCTGGTTTTTGTCATTCAGAAAGCTTCAGTTAGAAATAGAGAACTTTACCATTCTTGTTGTAGTCAGCAAGTATTATATTGATAAAAGGTAAAAAAAAATTGTAACTAAAAATGGAAGATAAGTGGCAGTGCTCTCTTTTCAAGGTGTTTAAGAATTTTCTCCAACTTTGTGAATGTATTTACTTCACTTGGATTACTTCGGTACTTGTTATTCAGTTTTGTTTATGCCTTCAACTCTGCGTGCCTTTCAGATTGAACTTAAGACTGCCCCAGCTGATTTCCGGTTCCCAACAACCAACCAAACTAGGCACTGTTTCACTCGCTACGTTGAGTTTCATAGGTAAATTCCCATGCATTTTACAGAATTTGGTGCTTTGTAGACTTGTTTCTTCTGTTGCTTGGTTGCCAATTGAATCAGTTTTTGACCATTATTTTCATATCCGTAATAGTGCGAAAAGAAGGCCCGGCTCCAAGTTGTTCAAGAATAGTGGTGTTGAGTTTCTGTGTAAGCATGGAGTTTAAAGGATTAATAATCCCTTTAATAGACTTGGGAATTGATCTTTATTTCTTCTCTGAAATAGAACAATGAAAGGCTTGGTCTAGGCTAGTCCACTAAATTAAAATCATCTGCTAAACTAGGGACTGAACTCTCAATATTGAAATTGTGCTTAAGGCGGTTTGAAATCCTGCTTAATGCAAGCCTTTCTGCAATGAAACAAGAATTAATTTACGACGTAATTAATTGTGCGTTACTTGAACCGAAGGTTGTTCAGGATCAACCTCTCTACCTCCTCGAGGTAGGGTAAAGGTCTGCGTACACTCTACCCTCTCCAAACCTCACTGATGGGACTGCACTGGGTTTTTTGTTGTTGTTGCTGTGAAGACGCACTTATCATCCTCCCATCTACCAACCGAAAAATGGTAAAGAGAAGAAATGGTGGATTTAGTCAAGTATGGGGTGGAATTGGTTCAAGATCTGATGAAGTCTATTAATTTACATGTCCAACCTTTTGAAAAAAGGGAAAAAAATGTCCGTCCAATATTTTTGGTCACCTTTTAGAAGATCATTTAACTTGATACTGCCTTTTCTAACCTTGTGAACTTGAATTGTTCTTGCAATATGTGGATCATCAGAAGTTGTTACTTTGAGGCGTAGTCATTTTGTGGTTGTTTTACCAACTCTTGCTTCTTCACAAACCTCAGGTGTGTTGCTGCAAAGGGTGATGAGGCTGCTGACTGTGAAAGATTCGCAAAATACTACCGTGCACTTTGCCCTGGTGAATGGGTGAGTCATGTGCTTATTAAATTGTATTTTGGTGTAGTTAAAGTGATTAGGTATCTTCTAATTTGTGGTGGGTCGTAGTTCATCGCTTTGCTTTTACGCATTACCCCTTCCATTCCTCAATTTTTTTTTACTTGCCTATGAAAATTTTACAGAAGTTTAAGCCATAATTTGAGTTGAAAGGGCACTTCAATATAGACAATGACTTTGTGAATTTGCGTATGATCCTTGAGTCGGAATTCTCTGCCTGACCAAAGTACTTTTCCTTATCTCTTCAAATAGTACACATGGATGTGTTAAATACGTATGTGAGTCTAAACCAACCTTTTCTAGTTTGAAACCAGTGTGGGCAAAAAAAGGTTCTCTATGGCGTAAACGCTGCAGGGATCTCACTTCTGCATTCAGTTTTATTATGTTTTCTGTTTTCTCAAGCTTTCAGCTAGTGGCCATTAGGTGAATTTTGTCATTGGCACAGAAGATTGACGTAAATCTGGCCAAA